GCGGGGGAGGGGAGGCGAGGTGGGTGGGGTAATGGTGGCGGGGGAGTGAGGTGGGTGGGGTAATGGTGGCGGGTGAGTGAGGTGGGTGGAGTAATGGTGGCGGGGAAGGTGAGGTGGGTGGGGTAATGGTGGCGGGGGAGTGAGGTGGGTGGAGTAATGGTGGCGGGGAAGGTGAGGTGGGTGGAGTAATGGTGGTGGGGGAGTGAGGTGGGTGGAGTAATGGTGGCGGGGAAGGTGAGGTGGGTGGAGTAATGGTGGCGGGGGAGGCGAAGTGGGTGGGGTAATGGTGGCGGGGGAGGTGAGGTGGGTGGGGTAATGGTGGTGGGGGAGTGAGGTGGGTGGAGTAATGGTGGCGGGGAAGGTGAGGTGGGTGGAGTAATGGTGGTGGGGGAGTGAGGTGGGTGGAGTAATGGTGGCGGGGAAGGTGAGGTGGGTGGAGTAATGGTGGTGGGGGAGTGAGGTGGGTGGAGTAATGGTGGCGGGGAAGGTGAGGTTGGTGGGGTAATGGTGGCGGGGAGGTCAGGTGGGTGGAGTAATGGTGGCGGGGGAGGCGAGGTGGGTGGGGTAATGGTGGCGGGGAGGTCAGGTGGGTGGAGTAATGGTGGCGGGGGAGGCGAGGTGGGTGGGGTAATGGTGGCGGGGGAGTGAGGTGGGTGGAGTAATGGTGGCGGGGGAGGCGAAGTGGGTGGGGTAATGGTGGCGGGGGAGTGAGGTGGGTGGAGTAATGGTGGCGGGGGAGGCGAAGTGGGTGGGGTAATGGTGGCGGGGGAGTGAGGTGGGTGGAGTAATGGTGGCGGGGGAGTGAGGTGGGTGGAGTAATGGTGGCGGGGGAAGTGAGGTGGGTGGAGTAATGGTGGCGGGGGAGTGAGGTGGGTTGAGTAATGGTGGCGGGGGAGGCGAAGTGGGTGGAGTAATGGTGGCGGGGGAGTGAGGTGGGTGGAGTAATGGTGGCGGGGGAGTGAGGTGGGTGGAGTAATGGTGGCGGGTGAGGTGAGGTGGGTGGAGTAATGGTGGCGGGTGAGGTGAGGTGGGTGGAGTAATGGTGGCGGGGGAGGGGAGGCGAGGTGGGTGGAGTAATGGTGGCGGGGGAGTGAGGTGGGTGGAGTAATGGTGGCGGGGGAGGCGAAGTGGGTGGAGTAATGGTGGCGGGGGAGGCGAAGTGGGTGGGGTATTGGTGGCGGGGGAGGTGAGGTGGGTGGAGTAATGGTGGCGGGGGAGGCGAAGTGGGTGGAGTAATGGTGGCGGGGGAGTGAGGTGGGTGGAGTAATGGTGGCGGGGGAGGCGAAGTGGGTGGGGTATTGGTGGCGGGGGAGGTGAGGTGGGTGGAGTAATGGTGGCGGGGGAGGCGAAGTGGGTGGAGTAATGGTGGCGGGGGAGTGAGGTGGGTGGAGTAATGGTGGCGGGGGAGGCGAAGTGGGTGGGGTAATGGTGGCGGGGGAGTGAGGTGGGTGGAGTAATGGTGGCGGGGGAAGTGAGGTGGGTGGAGTAATGGTGGCGGGGAAGGTGAGGTGGGTGGAGTAATGATGGCGGGGGAGTGAGGTGGGTGGAGTAATGGTGGCGGGGGAGGCGAAGTGGGTGGGGTAATGGTGGCGGGGGAGTGAGGTGGGTGGAGTAATGGTGGCGGGGGAGGCGAAGTGGGTGGGGTAATGGTGGCGGGGGAGGCGAAGTGGGTGGGGTATTGGTGGCGGGGGAGTGAGGTGGGTGGGTAATGGTGGCGGGGGAGTGAGGTGGGTGGAGTAATGGTGGCGGGGGAGGCGAAGTGGGTGGGGTATTGGTGGCGGGGGAGTGAGGTGGGTGGAGTAATGGTGGCGGGGGAGGCGAGGTGGGTGGGGTATTGGTGGCGGGGGAGTGAGGTGGGTGGGGTAATGGTGGCGGGGGAGGCGAAGTGGGTGGGGTAATGGTGGCGGGGGAGTGAGGTGGGTGGAGTAATGGTGGCGGGGGAGGCGAAGTGGGTGGGGTAATGGTGGCGGGGGAGTGAGGTGGGTGGGGTAATGGTGGCGGGGGAGTGAGGTGGGTGGGGTAATGGTGGCGGGGGAGGCGAAGTGGGTGGGGTAATGGTGGCGGGGGAGTGAGGTGGGTGGAGTAATGGTGGCGGGGGAGGCGAAGTGGGTGGGGTAAAGGGTTGTGGCTTGGCCATGTGGGTAGTGCGTACGCTCGACACCCAGGAATCCCGGATTCAGTTCAACATATGTGAACAACATTTAAATCATAACCAACTATATTCGAATCACAAACATGGTGATTCACGTCGTGAAAGATTGAGTCAGAAGAATGTTCCTGTTGGTAAGTTTGGTAGTAATAATCGGATGTGCTCACGTTAGTTGAGCTGTGAGTGTTTTGTCATATCAGGAATAGGACGCATTCTGTGAGGAGATTGTTGCACGGTGTTGACATGGCTCCTGTCACAGCGAGCGGGAGTTCCACTACAACACCGGGTACAGCACCATCCAGACTTCCATATCACTACTCGCACATGGTAAAAAACAGCCACACGCTAAACTGACAATGAGGGTGTTAGTTGCATTGTGTTTTTCCGGTATTACATCTCACATGAATATAGGTCTCGCTGTAGGACTGGGATGCTGGCATATATCCATTTCACTTCATCAGTGTTATAAATTGTAGAATTTTCTAAACTAACAGACAAAAATTAAAAAACGGGTCAAGATAAGAAAAGTACTGCTTCATGGTGGTTCTCAAAATAGAAATAAACTGGTGGATTGTCAACATAGATAGACAAGATAGAAGATGAAAAACACTTTCTTTTGTACTGTCCAAATTATCCTTACGCAAGACAGTTATTTCTTCGAGCACTAGATTTATTAAACTGCCAAAATGATAATAAAGTCTTTGCAAGTATCCTAAACCCCTGCCCTGAAAAAGCAAAATATGTTTCACATATCTCTGACATGTTTATTAAAAGAACCTCTCTTACAGACAACATCTAGATGTGACCTTAAATCTTTACTACAACTATTGTGTCTTATCAATACAGTATCTACATTATTAAAGTGAACACTGCCAACCTCATGATACACATGTATATAAATGTTTATACACTAGGAATGAAAATAATATGTAATATCTCCATATATAATGTACAGTATGTATATCTACCTCTCATGTCTATAGTTATATTTCTTCTCAAATGTAGCTAGTTTGTACCCGGCCCTACAAGGGTGTTCTGTACAATATAAATTATTGATTCTATTGAAATAAAAATCAACGCTATATTTTGCCTTGACTTCTATAACGAGTAGATCAAAGAGTTCCGCAGGCTGCCAGTCTCGGGATTCAGCTTGAACATCAAACATCTCGCAAATTTCACATTTTGTATACGCAACACGAGATATATATCACTACGTTGTACAAAGTGTCTGCATCCCGCTTCATCTGACATGTGGGGCCGAAGGAAGTGGTCAGGTGCGTGCTGTGATATAGCGTGGCACTGGTTCACCTGGTCAACAGCCCTGTAGGCGACGTCTGAAGCCCACCTTGCTACAGAGGACCAGAGGCTATGTTATACACGTACAGGGACTATGTTAAACACCACCAGGGACTATGTTATATACCACCAGGGACTATATTATACATGACCAGGGAGTATGTTATACATGACCAGGGACTATGTTATACACGTACAGGGACTTTGTTATACACCACCAGGGACTATGTTATACACCACCAGGGACTATGTTATACATGACCAGGGACTATGTTATACATGACCAGGGACTATGTTATACATGACCAGGGACTATGTTATACACGTACAGGGACTATGTTATACACCACCAGGGACTATGTTATACATGACCAGGGACTATGATATACATGACCAGGGACTATGTTATACACCACCCGGGACTATGTTATACATGACCAGGGACTATGTTATACATGACCAGGGACTATGTTATACACCACCAGGGACTATGTTATACACCACCAGGGACTATGTTATACACCACCCGGGACTATGTTATACACCTCCAGGGACTATGTTATATACCACCAGGGACTATGTTATACACCACCATAGACTATGTTATACACCACCAGGGACTATGTTATACACCACCAGGGACTATGTTATATACCACCAGGGACTATGTTATATACCACCAGGGTCTATATTATACACCACCAGGGACTGTTAAACACCACCAGGGACTATGTAATACACCACCAGGGACTATGTTATATACCACCAGGGACTATGTTATACACCACCTGGGACTATGTTATTCACCACCAGGGACTATGTTATACACGACCAAGGACTATGTTATATACCACCAGGGACTATGTTATACACCACCAGGGACTATGTTATATACCACCAGGGACTTTGTTATATACCACCAGGGACTATGTTATATACCATCAGGGACTATGTTATACACCACCAGGGACTATGTTATACACCACCAGTAACTATGTTATATACCACCAGGGACTATGTTATACACCACCAGGGACTATGTTATATACCACCAGGGACTATGTTATATACCACCAGGGACTATGTTATACACCACTAGGGACTATGTTATACACGACGAGGGTGAATGTAAGGAATCCATCTCTTATTCAACTACCTTGAAAACCACGTGGTAGATATTGCCCTGTTTTGTTCTGTATATGATGACATATCGTATTCCTAAGTGCAATAAGATAGCTGGTGTCCTCTTTGTAAACACGAGGAAATATTGGCGGATGTCATGAGGTCAATCAAGCGGTCTAGCTGGCAAGTGCAACACAGGTTGCATTACGTGGATGGAGAGTGCACGCGGGTCAGGTGGGGTAACGCAACCGGCGCCAGGGTATCTGCACATGCACACATGAAATCTATCGCGCTATAACGGGTTTGTGGATAGTGCTCATCGCTGTGACGTCATCAGGTAGCCTCAGAGAGCAGGAATTCCCACCAAAGGGGGTGTTTACGCAGTCCCTGACTAAACCGGTCGGAATCTGGTGGTGCCGCGAAGTTTCCCGTTGTACCGACCCTCCCCGTGTGAGTGGCTATATATATTCCTGCACACACCGGCTGCCGCAGACGATACCACCGAGCAGACGTGACTTACACGAGCAGCCGTCAAGGTTATATTCCAGTGTTACTGCTCAGCGATTGTTTGACCACTGTCCCTACCATTCGACATAATGGCGTTTTCTGAGCACCTTGTACCCATGAGGAGGGAATCGTGGAGCTTTTTCGACAAACAGCGGTCAATCTTCAGCTCCACACACAAAGACATGGACGATGAATGGAAGGCGTTTGATGTGGAACTGGATAAAATTAAGAATGACATGTTTAAACTGACCCCTATGGACATGGGCGACTTCGGTTCCAGTCTGATGCCGAGTCTCGGGTCTGGTTTTGATACGTCTCTTGATTCTTCTTCCTCGTCTTCCTCCAAGGTGACAAAGAAGACAACTACGACGACAACGAAGACAACCAAAATGTCGTCTTCCAAGGGAGGTGCTGACCCCATGTCGTCGTTGGAATCCAGTTTCGGTTCATCATTGAACACTAGTTTCGGAACATCTATGGATTCTAAGGTCGACGCTGCCCTGAAGGACGCCGGTTTCGGGTCTGGGTTTGGTAGCACTGCCCTCGACACGTCGACCAGGAGCTCCTCCGCTCTCGACAGATACATGCTAAAGGTCGACCAGCCTTTCGTCACCGACATGGACGGCAAGAAGAAGTTGTCCCTCAAGTTCGACATGAGCGAGTTCAAGCCGGAGGAGATCTCCTTGAAGACTGTGGACAATCGTCTGATGATCGGAGCAAAGCATCTCGAGGAGACTGCCACCAGCAAGATTTACAGAGAGTTCAGTAAGCAGTACGTACTTCCGGTCAAGATTGACCCTATCTCCCTCTCCTCCATCTTGTCCAAGGACGGAGTATTAAGCATAGAGGCCCCCGCCCCCGACAGCGTGGAGGCCCCCCGGGAGAAGATCCTGCCCATCCAGCGCTTGTTGTAAGAAGACTGTTGTTACTGTTGTTGTTGTTGTGAGAAGACATCTTTCCAAGAGATATGTGAACTGTTTTTGAAACATTTTTGTGCACAATTTGTAAGTATTACATTTTTGTAGTCGGACTCAGAGTCCAACGTAGCGCGTGAATGTTACATGAAATGATTAACGTTTTGCTCATGAGAAATACATGTGCTGTTTTGAGTCAGTGAAAAAGTATTGAAACGTAAGAGAGATTAATTGTAATAATTTGAAGAATATGTTTACAACCGCCTCCCTGTTCCTCGAAAACAGACAGATGTAACTGTTTATTTCGACATCACCCGGCAGGTTTCAACAAAGCCACGTCTCAGAAATCTAACCATAGCACGTACTAGTATTCGCTCTAATACGGAGTTCTAATTTTAGAAGGATTGTTGCTGAAATATAATCATTACATATATGATATCGAATATAGAATATCTAATTGTCTGAAAAATATCTTTGCCTCAATACCCCCCAAGCAACACAAAACGACCCCTCCAACCACGTCCCCCCCCCAGGCACCCTAATCTCCCCCCACCCCACACCACCTCCCCCTACCCGCCCCGCCCTTCCCCCAGGAAGTCGGTTGTCTGTAACACACGTCAGGTAACGTTTGTGTAGCTGTTGGCAGCTATGGCCAATTAAAGGATAGCGAGTGTTCGAGCGCTAGACACAAAGGTTGTGCAATGTTTACGTCTCTGATATATGCTCAGGTATATTTTAAACACGCCATTTCCAAACAGTGTTAATTAATGTATATATTTATTCAAAGAAAACATATTTCCAAATATTTTAAAACTGTTTGTCACTTTAAGTCACTAATTTAATTTCCGCATCATACGTGTGTACCAGAGCATCCCTTGTCTCTGTGCCTGACGTCAGATAGGTATGGCGGAGCTTGCGACCCTAGAAGTTCTGTACTGTGAATATGTCCATAGTAAGTTATGTCATGTTTACATTGTGAAGATGTTGACAGGTGGGCGTGGCTGTTGACATTGAGAGATTGATTGACAGTTGTGGATTTGTACAGTTTTTGCTACTTCCTTTGTTAAACAATAAATGTTCTTGTAAAACAGTCTCGCTTTGTATTATATCGAACGTTTCTCAATTACATTAGGAAAGACTTTATTTTCGAATTTATATTTAGACTCCCTGCCTTAGTTGGACAGAGAGTTCTAGATTTCTGAAGCCTTTTTGCTTTGTGCTATATTAAACCAAATACTATGGTTTAACGTAGAAGCTCGCCGACCGGAGAGAGCAGCGTGATCTGGCTTGATATTGTCGGTGAAGGAAGCGTACGGCCAGTTTGCCCACTACTGTATTATCTTTCAAGAAGAACCTTTGTCTGTCTACCCTACCCTAGAGAATAAATTGAGAAAGGAATCCATCTCAAGTCTAGATTGCCTCTGCTCTCACATTAAGTATAGTTCTGGGCTTCAGTTGGATTTTATCATTTTTATTGTGTAGATATATATTTCTAAATAGGAGAACTTTATATCTGGGATTAAATGTTAGTCTAGAAGAAGCTCACCATGGTCTTTACCAAAACTTTCAAAGTTTGTCGGATGTTTTAAGACTGTTTGTCGGCAATTTACCTTAACAAATTCATCTGCACAAACGTTTATACTTCGGTCTCTTAGTTCGGAGGCTATGGGGGACTTGATGTGATTAAAGAGAAGCGGAGACCCTCCATCTTCAGGGTTCTATACTAGTTCAGGTAACCAGATTGAGTGAGTGAGTGAGTGAGTGAGCGAATGAGGCTTAACAACGCCTTGACCTGTAGTTACCTGTAAGCCTGATATAAAATGTCCACGTGAGTACCATGGCGTCGGGAGATAGATAGTTCGAATCTACTAACAGCGGATCCTGGCGCGGCCAGGGACGCAGCTCTTTTAATCTGTTTATGGTTCTTTAGACAGAAGGCCACGCGTCTTGGGGTATATTTACAAGTGACTGATCGGCGGGGGGAATCTAACACGGGCCTTCTGCGCGACGAACCACAAGGCTATCCCACTGCTCCTGGATGCTCTATGTATACCGCCCCTGGGTGCTCTATTAACACCGCCCCTGGGTGCTCTGGATACACCGCCCCTGGGTGCTCTGGACACACCGCCCCTTGGTGCTCTATTTACACCGCCCCTTGGTGCTCTGGATACACCGCCCCTGGGTGCTCTGGACACACCACCCCTGGGTGCTCTGGACACACCGCCCCTGGGTGCTCTGAACACACCGCCCCTTGGAGCTCTGGATACACCGCCCCTGGGTGCTCTGGACACACCGCCCCTGGGTGCTCTGGATACACCGCCCCTGGGTACTCAGCTGAAGTGTGTGGATGGGCAGTTACAGCTATACTTTAGATGCCGTAAATAAACGATTGATTAACAGCATGAGCAGAGATCCAGGTCATTTAGGACCATAGGTACTTCCCCATCAAGTAGAGGGGACTGGGGAGCTACCCTGCCCCATCAAGTATAGGGTACTGGGGATCTATCCTCCCCCATCAAGGAGAGGTACTGGGGATCTATCCTGCCCCATCAAGGAGAGGGTACTGGGGATCTATCCTGCCCCATCAAGGAGAGGGTACTGGGGATCTATCCTGCCCCATCAAGTAGAGGGTACTGGGGATCTATTCTTCCCTATCAAGTAGAGGGTACTGGAGATCTATCCTGCCCCATCAAGGAGAGGGTACTGAGGATCTATCCTGCCCCATCAAGGAGAGGGTACTGGGGATCTAGTCTGCCCCATCAAGTAAAGGGTATTTGGGATCTATCCTGCCCCATCAAGGAGAGGGTACTGAGGATCTATCCTGCCCCATCAAGTAGACAGTACTGAGGATATATCCTGCCCCATCAAGTAGAGGGTACTGGGGATCTATTCTGCCCCATCAAGTAGAGGGTACTGGGGATCTATCCTGCCCCATCAAGTAGACAGTACTGAGGATCTATCCTGCCCCATCAAGGAGAGGGTACTGGGGATCTATCCTGCCCCATCAAAGAGAGGGTACTGGGGATCTATCCTGCCCCATCAAGGAGAGGGTACTGGGGATCTAGTCTGCCCCATCAAGAAAAGGGTACTGGGGATCTATCCTGCCCCATCAAGGAGAGGGTACTGGGGATCTATCCTGCCCCATCAAGTAAAGGGTACTGGGGATCTATCCTGTCCCATCAAACGAGAGGGTACTGGGGATCTATCCTGTCCCATCAAACGAGAGGGTACTGGGGATCTATCCTGCCCCATCAAGTAAAGGGTACTGTGGATCTATTCTGCCCCATCAAGTAAAGGGTACTGGGGATCTATCCTGCCCCATCAAGGAGAGGGCACTGGGGATCTATCCCGCCTCCCACATATCCTGTGAAACACGTCATTAGAAATGTACATATAGATGTTGATCGTATACCACCACATTAGACAAGTGAGGCAAGTGAATCCTTCAAGATTCCACACCTGGCATAGCGCCATAACATGCCACGCATATACTCACAAATCACACACAATTGTTCAGACATTAATATAATTACTTCCTGGCTCTATTCTGAGCTGAAGTATTTTGTAATTGGCAATGAAGCTGAAGCCGCCTCCCATCCTGATGTGAGTCGCTGATACACAGGAACTGCCGTATATGTACTCTCTCCCACACAGGCCACGGCTAGTCTCCCACACAGGCCTCGGCTAGTCTCCCACACAGGCCTCGGCTAGTCTCCCACACAGGCCTCGTCTAGTCTCCCACACAGGCCTCGGCTAGTCTCCCACACAGGCCTCGGCTAGTCTCCCACACACCTCGGCTAGTCTCCCACACAGGCCTCGGCTAGTCTCCCACACAGGCCTCGGCTAGTCTCCCACACAGGCCTCGGCTAGTCTCCCACACAGGCCTCGGCTAGTCTCCCACACAGACCTCGGCTAGTCTCCCACACAGGCCTCGGCTAGTCTACCACACAGGCCTCGTCTAGTCTCCCACACAGGCCTCGGCTAGTCTACCACACAGGCCTCGGCTAGTCTCCCACACAGGCCTCGGCTAGTCTCCCACACAGGCCTCGGCTAGTCTCCCACACAGGCCTCGGCTAGTCTCCCAATCAGGCCTCGGCTAGTCTCCCACACAGACCTCGGCTAGTCTCCCAGTCAGGCCTCGACTAGTCTCCCACACAGGCCACGGCTACTCTCCGACACAGGCCTCGGCTAGTCTCCCACACAGGCCTCGGCTAGTCTCCCACACAGGCCCCGGCTAGTCTCCCAATCATGCCCCGGCTAGTCTCCCACACAGGCCTCGGCTAGTCTCCCAGTCATGCCCCGGCTAGTCTCCCACACAGGCCTCGGCTAGTCTCCCAATCAGACCTCGGCTAGTCTCCCACACAGGCCTCGGCTAGTCTCCCACACAGGCCCCGGCTAGTCTCCCACACAGGCCTCGGCTAGTCTCCCAATCATGCCCCGGCTAGTCTCCCACACAGGCCTCGGCTAGTCTCCCAATCAGACCTCGGCTAGTCTCCCACACAGGCCTCGGCTAGTCTCCCACACAGGCCCCGGCTAGTCTCCCACACAGGCCTCGGCTAGTCTCCCAATCATGCCCCGGCTAGTCTCCCACACAGGCCTCGGCTAGTCTCCCAATCAGACCTCGGCTAGTCTCCCACACAGGCCTCGGCTAGTCTCCCACACAGGCCCCGGCTAGTCTCCCACACAGGCCTCGGCTAGTCTCCCAATCATGCCCCGGCTAGTCTCCCACACAGGCCTCGGCTAGTCTCCCAATCAGACCTCGGCTAGTCTCCCACACAGGCCTCGGCTAGTCTCCCACACAGGCCTCGGCTAGTCTCCCAATCAGACCTCGGCTAGTCTCCCACACAGGCCTCGGCTAGTCTCCCACACAGACCTCGGCTAGTCTCCCACACAGGCCTCGTCTAGTCTCCCACACAGGCCTCGGCTAGTCTACCACACAGGCCTCGGCTAGTCTCCAAATCAGGCCCCGCCTTGTCTCTGTGGAAACTATCTACCGCAGTACTCTGTGACCAGAAAATTCGAAAAAATACAATTTTCGTTCAAGTTGTTAAACACAAATGGAGATAGTTAGCGTGTTTGAGTTTCGGGAAGTACTATTCTTGTATGTTGGTAGTTCTGTAGGGAGCGAAGCGAGCCAGTTTATGATGTTTTAGCTAGCTTCATAAAGCGGAAGTCCGGAATTTAGTGTACACACCAGAGGTTGAACAATGATTCATGCATCGGGTCATGGTCTCTGATCTGGTTAAGATGGCACAGGTGGTGTTCCATAAACAGTCAGCAGTCGCAGAATTCTGATTCCTGGCAGATTGTATGGTGCTTGAAACCAGCCAGAACGATGTGTGCACCATTCATAGTTTACGGGGATGTAGATACTGAAAGTAGAGTGTTGGTAATGAGATGCCCACTTGTACCGTTGAGTGAGTGAGTGAGTGAGTGAGTAAGGCAGTGAGTGAGTGCGTAAGGCAGTGAGTGCGTGAGTGAGTGAGTGAGTATGGTTTTACCCAGCGTTTAGCAATATTCCAGCAATATCACGACGGAGGACACCAGAAATGGGCTTCACACATTGTACCCATGTCGGAAATCGAACCCGGCGTGACGAGCGAACGCTTTAACACTGGGCTACGGGACCGCGCCTGCACTGAAGAAGACACCGGTGATTCAACACACGTACCCACTGGACGCTAGATACTAGACGCCCCACACGAGATGCTAGACGCTAGATAATAGACGTTATATACTAGTCATTATACGTTTGATGCTAGACAATAGGCGTTAGATGCTGGATATTAGCCGTTATAAACTAGACATTAGACGTCCGGTGCTAGACAGAAGGCGTTAGATGCCAGACAATAGACGTTAGGTTCTTGACAGTAGACGCTAGATGGTGGACATTAGACGTTAGATTCTTGATAGTAGACGCTAGATGGTGGACATTAGACGTTAGATTCTGAACATTAGACGCTTAATGCTAGACAGTAGGCGATATATAATAGACGTTAGATGCTAGATAATAGACGTTAGATGCTAGACAATGAAAGCTTAATACGAGACATTAGGGCTAGACGTTAGATACTGAACATTCTTCACGTC